GAGAACTTGACAAATACACTAAACCAATTAGCAAAGATTGTGAATTACTCACTAGTCACCGAGGACATTCAACATGTTACTAGGGTGGCTAGTAGTAGGGATTCACCGTTTCTAGACCAAAAAATTCAGTTTAAAAAGGTGGGAATGTTTTTGTCAATATCGACCTTATGGTCATTGTAATAAGGATCGCCGGTTCTGGACCAAAAGTTGTTTTGATTTATACCGGACTTGGTGTAGCGTTGTTAATGAGTGTTTACCTGTCTCCGTAGTAGATCGTTAATTAGCTAACGTACTAGTTCCTCGAGTCTTATTGGAAAATCAATAAAATAGATATGGAATTACTCATAGATTTTATTATGTTATTCATATGTTATAACAATTAAAAGTGTATTTAACTACATTATGCAAGAAAATATCATTATTCATCGTATTTTCACCAAATAAGTGTACAAAATCCCTCATTGTGTCACCGTGAAACTTGTAGTACAAATACATTAGACAGTACTCTCCACAGAAGGAAGTCCAATCATCCTGTATCTTTTTAGTATTATACCCCCATAGACGTGAATTCCTTTGCAAAAAGGCTCGATGGTATCCTGATGGTGGTCTACCATAGGAATCAAAGTATTGACCAACATGGTTTTTGTCTATATGTATGGCTATCCAGTGAGAGCCGGGCCTAGTGTCGGGGTCCAAATTGCTTATTATGTATGCTGGAACTTGAGTAGTCATTGGTAACCTATTTGCCGCATATACGTTATACTTTAAGCTCGGGTGAATTTCATTAAGATATTTCTCTAATTCTATTGTATCCATATTGCACACAGATTAGCATGACCAGCACCGTCCGAGTCAACAGATTAGGTGTGAATGTGTCTTTAATTCCTAGGTGTCACTATTTCATTCAGTGTTTAATATCTTAAAAAGTCAATAGGTAGAAATGATACAAAATGCATAATGTTAAACTGTTATTATATTTATTTAATTGACACACTTGATACATAGAATGTACTTATCGAAATACGTTACATATATGTGTATTCCTAGCTGCTGTAGTCTACGGTTACATTACGGTTCTTATCTATCTCAATAACGTTATCAAACTCTGCGTAAACAATACAATTAATAGTTTGTAAGAGAGTTGAATCAAAACGAACTTCTAATCTTACACTACCATGCTTGACAAGGTTCCAATGGCTCGAAGAGTTAGCTGACAAATCGGGAGTTAGATCGAAGGCTAATAGACAATAGCCCATAGCATATTCTTCCCTAGATGTACCATTACCTTCGTTGAGAAAATGAATGCCTGTTCCCGAAAACAATGTATGATAGGCTGCAGTGTAAATGTTGCCATCTAATGATGGTTGTAAAGCTTTCGAAGGTTTTTGTTGTCCATCGATATACAAACAAAATGTGTTCATAAAATAATTTTTAAAGTTAAATGAGAATCACTCTGCTAACAAACCGATACTAATGTGATGTTTGGACATTATCAAATGTTTATACAGTTTGTTAATGTGGTATTGATAGTTACTCTCCCATATAAGAGACTAAATATTAGTTAGAAGTCAGTTGTTGCGGTGACAAGTTGTGATAGTTATATCAGTGCTTAGTGTTTGTGTGGTCTTTCAATTGACGACAAAGCAATGGAGGTAAGACACTTTGCTATTTCAATAGGTAATTAGGCTATAATTTAAAAATATTAACTTGTTCGTTACTTACCTCTCCATTCATGCGTTTTAATATTGTATTACAGAAGTCATATAACTTTGAGGAAAATACATTCAAACATTATTACTACGCGGACCTGGAAAATGATAGTGTATCGATTATTCAAGAAGATGTGAAACCAAAAAGAAAAGCGTCGAGTGATAGTTTAGATAAGTTGTTTGAGGTTGCGAAAAATAAGAAGAAGAAATTGTGTACTTCAGTTTCTCGAACAGTAGACGATGGTGTTGCAATAGTTAACACCAACTGTAGTGAGAGAGTGAGAGAGTGACGTCACGTACGTCAGTGGCAGCTGTTTACTGTGAACTATAATTGCGTTAAAAAATATTAAACAAGTGTTTGGCACTGTTAATTAC